TTTCTGCCTTTTTGTTGAGATTTAAGGCAATTTTCGGTGAGCTGTAGAACCAATTACCCAAAAACCCATTGAAAAATGGTTTGAGTTAGCGAGATTTTTAGGTTAACGCCTGCTGGAATGGATTGTGCTTTCGTTAACCGAGGGATACTAACAGGCAACCCTTACTATCTGACGGAATCGGTTAAGGAAATTCGAACTTAGGAAAATTGAAATTGCTGGCCCAAAAGAATTTCTGACATGGATAAAACCTGTACCAGAATTTTGGTGAATTTTTTAATTTTTAAAACACAAAAACTGCTTTACAGTATATAACAAAGAAATTCACCCAAATTTTAGAATTTAAAATCAGGAGTGGACATGGTGGTTGGAGGGCCGCTCACCCTAGCAGCCACCACAACAATGGCGCTGCTCAGTTTGAATTCTTTCCCCAGTTTGTGTAAGTTATGCATCTGTGTTATTTTGTACCCTTATTAAGAGGTGGAAAATGACCATCAAGATAAGGAAAAGCATTGGTGATAAAAGATTCCATAAAGGAATTACATTGGACAATACACATGATGTTTTAAGGCGGTAACTTCCACCTCACCTCACCTCACCACCTCCTGCAGCACTCAACATTGTTTCTAGTGAGTTCAATTCAAGTGTATTGCATTTATTGTCATGTTACATCATGAATAAATCATTGTCGCATTATTTAAAACTGTCTATTTCCATTCATATATGTGCTTACGATACGTTTTTGGGCCACAAACAATTTCCATAAAAACGCATCTCAACTCATATAGCGAGTCAATGGGAAAAATGGTTTAGAGTGATAAGGAAAGTTGCAGGAACGGAACTCTTCCGGACTAGTGGGGCAGACCACATTCCGAAAAACACTAAAGTCCAAAAGTCTGGTTGCTGACAACTGTTCACACCAAGATGATTGTTGCATACAGCAAAGTGTTATATGTAAGTAACCATAGAATCTGTCTTATGAATAAAGAGATAACTGTATACTGTACAAGCTATAAGAATAAAAATAAGGAAAATAATTGTAGCATCAGTATATTGTGTGCTTAAGATGTAAATAACCATGGATACTTTTGTCTATTGTACATATATCCAGTACTGTACTGTATACACAGTGTATAAGGTGGCCTGAGATGAGTTATTATACCATTATCCTTACTGCTACATTATTTCAAGTAAGTACAATACACTAACCTGCTGTTGCCCCGACAAAGCAGCCATTGATGTCTTGGCAGTATTCGATGACACCCAAATTATTCCGTACAGCAGCATCACTGCTGCTACAATTTCTCCTGTTGATCCACCAGCGTCACGAACTCATGCGGCATCTTGACACAGCTGAAAATTAAACTACCAGTACCATTAATTTCAGGTGCAAAGATAATACAGTAATGATGTTTATTATCACTATGACTGTAGTACAGTAGTGGCCTGCATGTATCTGGCAGTCAAAATATTTGAAAAACTAATTCTATATTTATCTTTGCCAGAAAAAATATGTATAAAGCCTACAAAAGCCTTATTGATACAGTATTATCTTTGTAGGTTTGACCTCCTGCACACCAAAACTTCCACTGGTAAAGGAAAAATCTTGTAATTTTTGAAGTTGTGCACATCTCGGTTTACAGCCTAACTGGCTAAAATCAGCGATATGTCAACAATTGGAGCCACGAGGCCTGTATGTTCACTATGTTTGGAAAAATTAATTTGGTATTATTTTTTGTCTAAAGCTATTCATAACTACTGTATATTGCACAATTGACCTTTAAAAATTTGAAAGTTAGGGACTGAACAAAACAGTGAACAGGCAAAACTACCTTCTTTAAGTTAAAGACTCATTGGAAAAACTGGTTATAAATCTGAAGAACCAAAACTTCTTTTAAACCCTCCCCATTATATATAAAGCTATTATTAGGCAGTAGAAGGAGAGGTAGATGAAGAGACTGAATTAGCTGATACAGGTTAGGTGGTGATGAGAGTAGGATGAGGAAGATGAATCAGCATCAGTCACCACAGTGTGTCAGACCTATTAAAGATCTGTGCTAATGTTCTCTGACAAATGATCAACAGCAGAGTCTCAAACTGTACCGTATATCCTATAAACAATAGTTCTAAGATGGATAAAGTCACAAGCTGCCGAGCTTCACTATAAGTTTGTTTTTCATCAAAGCCCTTTAGCAGTCTAGCAATATTTTCAAGGAGAGATGAAGTGTACATTCTCAAGAAATAACCAATTACAATTTCCGAAGCCATGCATCAATAAATTGGGTTAGATAATTATTTTTACTTGTATGGAAATTTATTATTATAAAAGAGGTGATATTTACTAGAGACCTAACGGAACTACGACCCTAACCAACCAAGAAACCTACCTAACTTCCTAGCCGGAAGGTGAGGGGGAAGACCTCCGTCATATTAAACAGAAAGTACTTGGTCAATCAGAGTAAGCTAGTGTTAATAAGAACTTAGCCTAGACTTTGTTATTACCTAAATCTCTGCCCTCTTCTTTCTTTACTAAGAATATTGTTTTCTTTATTTCTATCAACTGTACCTAGTGAACACAACACACTACACTGACACATATGTGGGCGTGACTTGGATACAATCAACCTATTAGCGTAAATAATATATGAATTGAAGAGTTAGTACAGTACTTACACAAATTCACCAACAGTTCACCTCACGTCCTCACTCAGCTGGCTCTGTTGACATTACACTCTCACTCTCTAGCCTCAAACACACAAACTATCGTATTTAAAACTCCTATAAGTAATCCATATATCAAATTTATATATTCAAAACTACTTTAATATTTAAGAAGTGTTGTATATGAATATTTGTTAATAAATGTGCAAAAATGTCACATAACAAATATTTAATTCAATTACATTTATTGTACATCTGGCATATCGGAAATCTCTCTTGTAAACTGATAATTTAAACCAAAGAATAATTAATATATTTCTTGTCTTACCTAATATACAGTACTAAACATTAACCATTTAAAGGTGACTAGAACAAGTATTAGACGTTCCTTCAGTCTTCTTAAACCATATATTGATATACGAGGATGGGATTATTATAAGGTAATTCCATCTATAACGCCAAAAGTGTCATAGAAGAACATCACATTTTTTCTCAGCTTATCATTAGAAAAAACTAATATTGAATTATGTCCTCTATTATAAATTGACCTATTATAAATTGACCTTATCGAGTTTCGTCGGCCCATACCTGTTGTCCACGACTATTAACA